GGGCACTTAGTGCTATGAACTTTCCTCTTAGCACTTCTTTCAGGGTGTCCCATAAGTTTGGGTATGTTGTGTCTGCATTCTCATTAAATTCTAGGAAGTCTTTCTTCCTCAACCCAGGAATGGTGCAATTGGGTGTTATTCAATTTCCATGAGTGTGTAGGTTTTCTGCTATTTGTATTGCTGTTGAATTCTAGCTTTAATGCATGGTGGTCTGATAAGATACAGGGGTTATTTCAATTCTTTTGTGTCTTTGGAGGTTTGCTTTGTTGCCAACTATGTGGTCAATTTCAGAGAAGGTGCCATGTGGCGCTGAGAAGAAGGTATATTCTTTTGTGTTTGGATGGAATGTTCTGTAGATATCTGTTAAACCCAGTTGGGTCATAACTTCTGTTAGATTCTTCGTTTCTTTGTTAAGTTTCTGTCTGGTGGTCCTGCCTAGTAGTTAAAGGGGGGTGTTGAAGTCTCCTACTGTAAATGTGTGTGATTTTATGTGTGGTTTGAGCTTTAGTAATGTTTCTTTTACAAATGTGGGTACCTTCATATTTGGGGCATAGATGTTCAGGATTGAGACTTCATCTTGATGGACTTTTCCTGTGATGAGTATGAAATGCCCTTCTTCGTCTCTTTTGATTGATTTTAGTTTTAAGTCTAATTTGCTAGATATTAGGATTGCTAAACCAGCTTGTTTCTTGGGCCCATTTGATTGGAGAATCTTTTCCCAACCCTTTATTCTGAGGTAACACCTGTCTTTGAAGTTGAGGTGTGTTTCTTGTATGCAACAGAAGTATGAATTCTGTCTTCATATCCATTCTGTTAGCCTGTATCTTTTTATGGGCAGGTTAAGACCATTGACATTGAGGGATATTAATATCCATTGATTGTTGGTTCTTGCTTGTTTTGGATTTATTGTTGATGGTGTCATTGTGTGTGTATTTTGCCCTCCTGTTTCTTTTCATGTTTGGTAAAATTGGATTATCTATTGCCTATGTTTTTGTGAGTGTAGTTATCTTTGTTGGGTTGGAGTTTTCCTTCCAGAACTTTCTGTAGTGCTGGATTTGTGGATATGTATTGTTCAAGTCTGGTTTTGTCATGGAATATCTTGTTTTCCCCATCTATAGTGATTGAAAGTTTTGCTGGGTACAGTAGTCTGGGTTGACATCCATGCTCCCTTAGTGTTTATAGGATATCTATCCAGGACCTTCTGGCTTTCAAAGTTTCCATTGAGTAGTCGGGTGTGATTCTGATAGGTCTGCCTTTATATGTTACTTGGCCGTTTTCCTTTGCTGCTCTTAATATTTTCTCTTTTTCTGTAGGTTTGGTGTTTTGATTATTATGTGGCAAGGGGACTTTTTTTTGGTGGTCCAGTCTGTTTGGTGTTCTGTAAGCTTCTTGTACTTTCATATGGATATCCTTCTTTGGGTTGGGGAAGTTTTCTTCTATGATTTTGTTGAATATGTTTTCTGTACCTTTGAGCTGTATTCCTTCACCTTCTTCTATACCTATTATTCTTAGGTTAGGCCTTTCACGGTGTCCCATATTTCCTGGATATTTTGTGTTAGGGATTTGTTGCACCTGAGATTTTCTTTGGTCGATGACTGTTTATCCTCTAGCAAGTCTTCAACAACTGAGATTCTCTCTTCCATCTCTTGAATTCTGTTGGTTATACTCACATCTTTAGTTGCTGATTATTTATCCAGCCTTTCTATTTCCAGCATCCCCTCATTTTCTTTATTGTGTCTATTTCAGCTTTCATGCCTTGAACTGTTTAGAGTTCTTCCTTCACTTGTTTGGTTGTTTTTTCTTGGATTTCTTTAGATTCTTTAAGAGATTTGTTTCTTGAATTTTTTGGTTTGTCTTTTCCTCCATTTCATGTAATTTTTTGCTTGTTCTTTCTTCTATTTCTTTAAGTGATTTTCTTGTTTCCTCTTTAAAGGTCCCTATCATCTTCCTAAGATATTTTTTGAGGTCTATCTCTTCTTCATGCTCTGTGTTGGGCTTTTCATATCTAGGGTGTGGAGTCCCTAGATTCTGGTGGTGTCACATTAGTTTTTCTGTTGTTGAGTGTGTTATTACTCTGTCTTCTTCCCATCCCTTCTTCCAGTGAGTGCAGGTAGGGCCTCTCCCTCTCTCTGGTGGCAGGTGGAGGGCTCAGCCTCTGGCAGTAGCCAGATGGCAGAGGGTGGTGGGTAGACAATGGTGGGGTGTCTTTGGACTCACGGTGGTCCTTCCCTGTCTGGGCAGGTCCACTCTTGCCTGTATGGGCTCAGGCAGAAGCCAGCAGGGGTTGATGGAGGAGGTGGGGGGGGGCAGAGCAGCACTCAGACTCACCTGAGGCTCGGGTGCCCGCCACAGGACCTAGACCCCTTTCTTAAGACAGCATCTGAAGCCAGGCGTTGGTGGCGCTCGCCTTTAATCCCAGCACTCGGAGGCAGGGGCGGGCGGATCTCTGTGAGTTTGAGGCCAGCCTGGTCTCCAGAGCGAATGCCAGGATAGGCTTCAAAGGTACACAGAGAAACCCTGTCTCGAAAAACAAAAAAAAAAGAAACAAAAACAAAAAAAAAGACAGGGTCTCACTATGTAACCTTGTGTCTTACTTAGGATTTCTATTGCTGTGAAGAGACACCATGACTATGACATGGCCCATCCATTTAGCTGCAGAATTCATAATTTTGTTTTCCTTTACAGCTCAATATTCCGTAGTGTATGTGTACCACATTTTTGTTATCAAATGTCAGTAGTAGGGCATTTAGGTTGTTTCCATTTTCTAACTATTGTGAATATAGCAGCAGTGGACATGACTGAGTAAGTATCTGTAGGGTAGGATGTTAAGTTCTCTATTCCAAGGTGTGGTATAGCTGGGACATATGGTAGATTTATTTTTAGCTTTTTGAGAATTCTCTACACTGGTTTCCAATAGTGGCTGTAGTAGTTTGCCATTCCATCAACGATGAATGAGGGTTCCCTTTGTCCACATTGCCCCCAGTATTTGTTGTCCATTGTTGATATTTGTTATTCTGACTGGGGTAAGATGAAATCTCAAACTTACTTTGATTCATATTTTCCTAATTGCTAGGGTGGATAAACATTCTTTAAGATGCTCTTTGCCATTGGTTTTACTTCTTTTGAGAACTTTCTATTCAGATCCCAAGGCCTTTTTTTTTTTTAAATAGGTCATAGTTTGTTGTTTTGTTTCTTCACTCTCTCTCTCTCTCTCTCTCTCTTTTTTTTTTGAGTTCTATGTATAGTCAGGATTTTAAACATTTGCCAGATATATAGCTGGCAAAGATTCTCTTTTATTCTATGGGCTTCCTCTTTACCCAGCTGATTGTTTCTTTGGCTCTGCAGAAGCCTTTTAGCTTTATGAAGTCCTGTTTGTCAGCTTTTGGCCTTAATTCTTGGGCAAATGGAGCCCTAGTCAAGAAGTCCTTTCCTACATCTACATCATGTAGCATACTGCCCATGTTTTCCTCTAGCAGTTCATGATTGATTTCTTTGAACTTCTCTGCTTATTTGAATCTTCAGCTTTTTCTATAATAGGTGTATATTAAGGATAATTTTTTAAAGTGTTTTCTTGGAGAAAAGCTGATATTTTCGTCTGTCTCTCTCTCTTTATTAAAAGTTTTTCAGGAATTACAAAGAAGATTCTTAACCCAGTGACAACCAAACTCAAAGATGTACAGAAGCTGTTAAGAAAACTACTTCCTCCTGATGCTGTGTTAGTGGGCCATTCCCTAGACTCGGATCTCAGAGTATTACAAGTGTGTATCAGCTTTAAGACTTTATTCTCTAATACATAAACATGTTCCATTTATATAAGATGTAAAGACTTAGGCTCTTTACTCCCAAACTTCTTTCCTGTTTTTCCCTTTAGCATAAGATGCTATTTATTCATTTTTTTCCTCCTCAGATGATACATCCATATGTTATTGATACCTCATTGCTTTATGCCGGGAAGCAGGGCAGAAGATTTAAGCTAAGATTCTTAGCCAAAGTTATTTTGGGGTAGGTTTATACATGTTATAATGTTTTGCTTATATATTGTACATAAATTAATATGCATTATCCACTTCAGTCTCTGTTGTCTTTCTTACTTTGTAAACATTACTCACTCCAGTTCTTATGAATTGAAGAAATTAAGGGGATGCAATTGGACTTTACAGTGTAGGCATGTAATCCCAGCTATTTTGAAAGCAGAAGTAGGAGATTCTCAAGTTCAAGGTTCTCCTGGTTTATAGAGTGAGTTTAAGGCCATCTTGAGGAACTTAGTGAGACCCTGTGTAAATATGAAAACTAATGTGTTAGGATGGCATGATAACTCAATAGGTAAAGGGATTTGTTGCGAGCCCTATGACCTGTGTTCCAATCCCTGGGAGAACTGACTTCCATAAGTTGTGCTTTGCCTGTCCCCCAACCAAACACATATACATTGTCCATACCCACACACATAAACAAACAAATGTAATTTTTAAAATTTATTTTTTTATATATTTGAATTACAATTTTTTTTAATTTTTAAAGGAAGTTAGTGATATAACATTTGCCTATCATGTGTAAGGCCCTAGGTTTAGTCCCTAGTACCAAGGAATTTCAAAATGTAGCATATTTACATTGAATATATCTTGTAGTTTTGACGCACATAAATACATGTTCATTATGACATGGTTCAAAATGAAAAGAAGAAAAATTGTATAGGACTGATTAAATTATGGTTGTGTTATTATTTAAAGGATCTGTGTATGTTAATGTGGAAAACCCCAAGATATTTCTTAGAATAAAATAGAGTTGCTGAGTAGGATCTATATGTAGATACTGATATAGTAGATTAGATCTATTAGGTATAATGACATAAATATATGAGAATTTAAGATTTTTCATAAACAACCAAGAAGATATTTAAATTACTTGCATATGAGTAAAAATCTTCTGAAAGGAAACTGTTGATACATCTATAAATGGGCTAGAGACTTCATTGGCTAATCTTTGATTCCTCTGGTATACTTGCTGGGGTCAAAGCCATTCCATGTTGTTCTGGATATGTAGCACCTCTCTTGAGGCCTGGCAGTTGAGCAGAGAAAAGAAATCTTGATGGTTAGAATATAAATCTGATTATTACAATGTTGAAACTTTATATACTGTTATTAAAAGAAATAATCGTTAAAAATAGTCCCAGGCACATACATTTCATCTTTACTTTCTAGGAAAGATATGCAGTGTCCAGACAAGGTTGGTCATGATACCATAGAAGATGCTAGAACAACTCTTGAATTAACTCGTTATTTTCTTAAGAATGGGCCAAAGAAGGTTAGTATCATTGAGCAGTATCTTGGGCTTTATTAATATTATGAGACAAGATCAGGCATTCATAGATCATTATTTCTGTTCTTACATTTCTATACAAAACTAGCAATGTAAGGTTAGAATTAAGACTCATATCACTAATATGTTATACTAAGTATATACAGCCTCTGAAGTTGGGCTTATCTATTTTTAAGTGTAGGCTCTACAGATTTAACAATATTAACTGGCAGTTGCTTTGAATAACTGTTTCTAAATCTGTAAAATGGAAATAATGTCGTTTTCTGGAATAGTATTGAGGGCAGATAACTACATAAAGCTCTTAATACAGTGCATTGTATATATTGAGCACCATGCTGGTGATGATGATCAATGAACTGATGCTGTTTATTGTAATTATTGTGCCTTCTTGGGCTAAGTGCACATTTCATTGTTTGAGCAGCAGTTTAGTAGATATAGATTTGAAAAGGACAGTTTCTGAAAGACTTTGTAAAATTATTTTTGTTGATGGTTTTCTTGAGGCACTGTCTTGCTATGTATCTCGCTGGCCAGTAACTTACTATGTAGTTATAGCCCAAACTGGCTTCAAATTTATATTGATTCTCCTATCTTTTCCTTCCAAGTGCTAGGATAAAAGGACCTGTAGGGACAAAAATGTGGGAGACAGAATTTTGGTTGAAAGTAAACTGAAAAAAGAAGGGTAAAGATATGTAATCAGGTAACAATAAATGTCAGGGCCCATAAAAATGGCTTCACTTCATCTTGGCTTCAGGTCAGAGAGTTCAAGCTATCCTTACTCTTCCAAGGTTAAAGTCATAAGACCTAAAGGTCTGAGGCATGACTACTGTATGATGTTTGGTCTTGGGTGTGGATGTCTTATCTAAATAACAAGAGACTTGCTCTGAGGTGTGGTTACCCTTAACCCTCAAGACCAGATAAGGAGAAATTTAGTCTAAGGCATGGTTACCAAATGTTTGGAGAATTAAGGAAGAAGGTCTGTTTCTTCCTTGTATCTTGATAAAGAAGTCTTTTGCCATTTTCCCCTATTTTGGTTGGGGTATTTAAGAATGTTGAAGAATAAACTTGGGATGTTCAGTATTCACTGGATTGCCCTCCTGACTCTATCCTGTATCTCTCTCTTCCTTAGTATCTTTTCCTGACATTTCTTAGTCCACACTCCCTCTCAGGCACAAACACGGGTTATTACAGACTGGCACCTCAAAGTGGGGCTACTACAGATGGCTAAAACAAGTAAAGCCCCATGTCTTTGAAGGTTGAGCCAGACAGACCAGCTACACTCTTTAGGAGAGGAAAATAAAAGGGGAAAGAGTAAAGAAGGGGGAAATAAGCAGTATAAGGTAAAACTAATCAGGACCCAGCTACCATGCCAAATTGATATTGAGTATTAAGTAAGGATGGAATCAACATGAAGTAGAGAGTTGGATGGGGATATAGAATATGAAAACTAATGACTGGGGTTCAGTTTTGAGTTCTCTCATATTTGTCTCTTAGAAACCCATGCCACCTTTGGTAGTTCTTCTGTTCTCCCCTCTGAATCTTTCTTTAGATAATTGAATTGCAGGTGCTGGTTCTGTCTATATGTAGTACTTCACAAGTTCAATTGCAAATACTAGTAATATCTTTGTGTTCTTTCAACTTTGGGGTTGTGAGTTATGATCCCACCCCTATATAATCCGTCCAATGTCCAGTGGGCTGCTTGGAGTCTTAGTTGTCTATGAGGAGACTGTATGAGGTTCCTTAATGCTGTGCCCAAGGTGGAGGTTACTGAGAGTCTCTCAGCTCAGCCTCATTGTACTACTGCTGCTATCTCCACAGTCTGCAGCCTGGGGTCTGCTGCTCTGACCCAGTTGCTTCATCATGTTCCAAGTTCTGCCCTGTGCTCTTCCTAAGGTCTTGATGGGTCCCTTGATCTAAGGGACAATAGCAGTGGTAGGGGAGTGATGAGTGTTGTAGAGTTCTTGAGTTCTAGTCCCCTTACCTCCATTGGAGCTGTCTGGGTTGCTGAAGCACTGACCTATGCTGATGGCTTAAGAGAAACTAGGTTCAGTCTTTGCAGCTCTTCCCTGCTTCCCAGTATTATCATCACTTGCTTCTATAATTGCAATCAGGATAAGTCCTTCCTGGAGCCATCATTCATGACCTGCCTACTTGTCATGGCGAAGCTGCCTCTGCCTCTCAATGTGCCAGGTTCTCCTGGAGTACCTTACTGAATTTTACCTCCTTTACTCTTGAATGTTTATCTCTCTATTTTTTTGCAGATTTTTTTTTATTTGAATTAGAAACAAGATTGTTTTACATGTCAATCCCAGTTCCCTCTCCCTCCCATCCTTCCCTACCACTCCCCCCTGACTAAAACCCTATCTATCACATATCCTTTCTGCTCCCCCTGGAGGGTGAGGCCTTCCATAGGGTTTCCTCAGGATCTATCATATCCTTTGGGATAGGGCCTAGGCCCATCCCCATGTGTCTTGGCTCAGGGAGTATCCCTCTCTGTGAGATGGGCTCCCAAAGTCCACACCTATGCTGGGGATAAGTACTGAACTACTACAGGAGGTCCCATAGATTTCCGAGGTTTCCTCACTGAAACCCATGTTCCTGGGTCTGAATCAGTCCCATGCTGGTATCCCAGCTATCAGTCTGGGGACCAAGAACTCCACGATGTTCTGTGGGTTTCACCAGCCTGGTCTGGACCCCTTTACTCATCACTTGTCCTTCTCTGCAACTGGATTCCAGTTCAGTTCAGTGATCAGTTGTGGGTGTCTGCTTCTACTTCCACCAACTACTGGATGAGGGCTATCAGGTGGAATATAAGTTAGTCATCAATCTCATCAGGGGAGGGCATTTAAGGTAGCCGCTCCTCTGTTGCTTAGATTGTTAGCAGGTGTCGTCTTTGTAGATCTCCAGACATTTCCCTAGTGCCTGATTTTTCTGTAAACCTAAAATGTCTCCCTCATTTAGGGTTTCTCCATTCTTGTTTCTTCTATTCTTGCCCGACTCAACCTTTCTGCTCCCTCATGTCCTCCTCACCCCTCCTCTTCTCCCCTTCTCACTCTTCTAGTTCCCTCCCCCCTCTTCCTGGGCTCCCAATTTGCTCAGGAGATCTTGTCCCTTTCCCCTTCTCCAGGAGACCATGTATGAATCTCTTGGGGTCCTACTTGTTTACCAGCTTCTCTAGCGGTATAGATTGTAGACTGGTAATCCTTTACTCTATGTCTAAAATCCACCTGAGTACATACCATGTTTGTCTTTTTGTGATTGGGTTATCTAGTTCCCTCCCCCCTCTTCCTGGGCTCCCAATTTGCTCAGGAGATCTTGTCCCTTTCCCCTTCTCCAGGAGACCATGTATGAATCTCTTGGGGTCCTACTTGTTTACTAGCTTCTCTAGCGGTATAGATTGTAGACTGGTAATCCTTTACTCTATGTCTAAAATCCACCTGAGTACATACCATGTTTGTCTTTTTGTGATTGGGTTACCTCGCTCAGAATGGTTTCTTCTAGTTTTACCCATTTTCCTGCAAATTTCAAGATTCCATTGTTTTTTTCTGCTGAGTAGTACTCCATTGTGTAAATGTACCACATTTTCTCTATCCATTCTTTGGTTGAGGGGCATCTAGGCTGCTTCCAGTTCTGGCTATTACAAATAATGCTGCTATGAACATCATTGAACATATGTCCTTGTTGTATGAGTGTGCTTCTTTTGGGTATATGCCTAGGAGTGGAATTGCTGGATCTTGTGGTAGACTGATTCCCATTTTCTTGAGGAGTCGCCATACTGATTTCCAAAGTGGCTGTACAAATTGGCACTCCCACCAGCAGTGGAGGAGTGTTCCCCTTTCTCCACATCCTCTCCAGCATAAACTGTCATTGGTGTTTTTGATTTTAGCCATTCTGACAGGACTAAGATGGTATCTCAGAGTTGTTTTGATTTGCATTTCCCTGATGGCTAAGGATATTGAACA